TACATTATCGCAAAATACAGTAAACATAGAAGGAGAACTTAAAGTGAAGATATTATTCGATCATAGACCAATGGCAGGTTTTCAGTGTCTTTCTGTGAGTTGATTGCCTCTTTATGTTTTTTAATGAATAGCATTTCAGTTTCACGTTTTTTTTAAATTTTGTTCTTTGTGTAAGATTGTAACATCCTGCCATTTGAAATTATGGTCGGAGTCTGTTCTATGCCTACTGACGACCGAATGTTGGTTGGGGGGTTTTTTGATATCTGCGCGATGCTCTTTTATACGCGTTTCTAAATGTCGCTTTGTTTGTCCGATATAGCATGCATTGCAATCAGAGCAGTCAAGTTTATAAACGACATCAGTGCATCTCTTGATCTCCAATTTATCCTTTCCTTTCCTGATTAGTGTATCCATTTTCTTAGAGACCGTATATAAGGTGTTCAAACCGTAATTTTTGAACGTTCGGCGTAATCCCTCACTAAAAGTTTTTACGTAGGGGATGGGAACGTAATTTTTCAGATCAAAAGTAAATGCACTGCTTTCGTTGTTAGCGCTATCATCATTATTCGATTGTTTGTTAATTTCTGAAATTCTTCTTTGAATGTGTTTGTTCACCAACAGGTCGGGAAAACAGTTATTTGACAATATAATTTTCACTAACTTGATGTTCTCATCGTAAAATTGTTCATCCGACAATAGTATGGCCTGGTCAACCAAATTAATGACCGTGTTAATCTTATATTTCAAAGGATGACTAGAGAAAAAATGAATATACCTGCCAGAGAACGTTGGTTTTCGATACCAGTTGGTGAACAAACAGTTGCCGTGTCTAAAAACAGACGTGTTCAAAAAATTCAGGGCGTTGTTCTTCTCAAGTTCATACGTAAATTTGAGACGTGGATGATAGTTGTTAAAAGTACGGACAACCTTATTAAGTTTCGATTGCGGAATGCACATGAAAATGTCATCGACGTAACGAAGAAAAATCTCGATATGAAAATCAAAGGATTGAAGGCAGCAAGTCTCTAAATCGTCATAACGATATCGGCTAAAATAGGCGAGAGGGGGGAACCCATTGGACTGCCGAAGATCTGTTCGTAGAACTCACCGTCAAAAGAAAAACTAGTGGAGTTAAGAATCATTCTGATAGCGTGTAAAAATTGGTCCAGATTCATCCGGGTCTCTCCAGATATCGCATCCCACCTTTTTTCGATTCCAGTCAGAACAAGTTCTATGGGTATGTTCGTGAACAACGCAACGACATCGAGAGAGACCAGGATGTGGTCAGGGGGGATGCTGTGTTGCTTCATAGAATATTTGAGAACATCTAAGACAATTTTTGATCGGTCATTCCTATTGTATTGATTGACAGGTAGTCCGAACCTGCTACCAAGACTTAGCATCTTTAAAATATTTTCGGGGATCTGTCTGTTACTAATGTTAACGATCCATTTATTCGTATCGATATTATGGAAAGTCTCAACTTGTTTATTATGTTTAATTTTTAAGTTATTAAATTTTTTCATTAATTTGCATCTGGTCAAGTTGTCGAAGTAAGATATCTTGTTTCTGTTATATAAGAAAAATTCTTTTACTGTACATGCAGGTAGAGAAACGTATAGCGCGTCTTCAATCCTTTGCCCCTCAGATCGTAAATAAGCAATCGTGTAGTTAATGTCCTTAATCTCTAGGTTCAATAACAAACATTGGCAACGGTGTTTGTAATTGTCCAATGTTCGATTTAAACGCATGTTGCGCAGTTTAATATTGTATCGAAAATTTAGGATGTGTTACTGAATTATTTCATCATTGGCGAATAACTTTTATTGAATATTTAAATTTTACGATTTAAAAGAACCAAAATATGTATATAATAAAATTTCCAAAAATCGTAAAATTTAAAATTATATAATATAACGGGGAAAATTTAAAACAGTGTTAGCGATATAAAATGGCACGTGACTCAAAATTGCGTTTATGATACAAAATTACGCACAATTTAAAATATAAAATAAAAATCGAAATGCAATATACAACTAGGATGATTCGAAACAACCCTATTGTCTCGCAAATGTCAGAGTCTTGACTCGATTCTGAGACAAGTTTTCCTGTAGCAAAACTTTCGCAAAAGCTTAGTTTGCGAGTTATAAAAAGAAATAGTTATCTATAGTTATACTGCGGGCCAAATACAAGAGGTAGACAGGGCGTATTTAACACATCCGTTTATTATAAACGTTTTTCCGAATATTTTTACGTTTTTCATGCCCTGCGCCGCCCCTGCTGTCTACCTCTTGTAACGTATTTTAATAGCGAGCCTTTTACTTTGAACCGAACAGACGTGTCAAACAAACCGATCTGTACTTTTACTGATAAAATAGTCCTTTCCGCTAGCTTGTCTCGTTTTATTTCCGCGAGTTCGGAAGTGTGTAAACGCGAGTGGCAGTGTGCGGAGCGCGAGTGAGTTCCGGGTGTAACAATAATATCTTACGGGAAAAAGCACTTTAAAAACACGAGAAAAAAATCTGTTTACATATTAATATATAAGAATAAACATGCATTTATTATGTATAATATGCAGAGCATTATAATATTATTAAATTATTATAATTGATTCAAATTCTCTAATTACCCGTTATAGCTCTTTATCCGTTATTGACTTTTCAACTTTACTGGTGTTTATATGAGAACTGCATGAGAGTTAGTCGTATACAAAGATTCATTTGTTTTCTTGAATAAAACTGAAGGAAAACACAATGTCATTATTGTTCTGCATAAGGGTCCGGTCACAATCCGATAAAAAATCGTTGCAATTAAATTCAATGCTTTTTCGAGTTTGCATTTACAGTGCCGGGGTCACGGCAAAGTAAAGGTCACTTGAGTGCGATCATTCTTCTAGAAGATATCTAGACGGTCAACAGACGCTCAACCATAAAAGTGAGATTCTTTTTCTCGTCTGAAATAGTTAAAAAACTAATTGAATATATTAATACCAATAGAGTACAATTTCGATTTTTCATATATACAAAAATTTTAGATACAATGTCCAGAAGTTTTCTTCTTTTTTTCGTTATCTTTTAACGTTTCAATGACGTCTTTTCTCTTGTCACATTTCCACACTGCGTTCTTGTCATCCAAAATTAATGCAATTTTAATAATAAATTTAATAAGCGAACACTTGTGGAGAGCATTTTTATACAAAGTAATGATAGCATCTTATCACAACGGATAGCAAAATTGACCTATTGTCATATGACCGAATAGTGATCAAAATTTCTTGAAATTAAAAAATGGGTAAATAATATGGTCAGTTGTAAAAATTATTAGACTTGAAAAGATCTAATTTTATATGAATTTTATATGATCATATATAATCAAATCTGGACGCGATATGATCTTATCTTTATGTATAATCATATTTGACTTGATCTTATTATATGTATATGATAACAGATTTATTGTCATATATAATAAGATTAAGTCGAATATATGATTACATAAAGATTATATATATATATATTTATATAAAATTAGATCTTTTTATATCTAATATATATTTTTACATCTGACCATATTGTACATATTTTTTTCTCGGGCATCTAATAGTGACTTGACCATCTAGTGCCACATGACCGAGACTTGGCCGTCTAGCGACTCGACCTTGTATCAAGAGACACGGTACTGTCTCGCGCCAAGTACGCGCGGAGCGAAACGCACCGGACTCTTTTACGCGATATACTCGACGATAACGTTTTTGATAACCTAAAGTATGCGAGTTATACGATGTATATTTTGTTTCTCACTCGATGAATAATGGTTAATGTTCATGGTTTATAAAAGATAGTTTTATATAAAAGAAAGTTTTTTATAAAAGATAGTAATAAGATTGTGAATCGAAAACACTATAACGGTAAATTCGTATCTTTGGAAAAATAGAATTTAATTAAAAACTTCTAGATTTTTTTTTACAAAAATAGAAGGAAAACTCTTATTTCTAATTACTATAATTGTAGGATTTTGACAATGTATCTAAATACAAAAGATATTAGGAGAAGATATTATAATCATACTATAATATAAAACCCGACTGTTTGTCTGTCTGTCTGTCCGCGAACTACTCATTCGTTAATGGACCGACTCTTAAAGATTTATATATGAAGTAGAGGTAGAATTTTCCGAGGATTGTAAATAAAATGTATAATTTTTAATTGGGGTAAACTCGGGTATGATAGTCATACGGAAAAGATGACCCATGGCTGTAATTTCTCCAATAATTGCTAAACAGTGCATTTTTGTAGTCATTCTCAAAGATAATCAATATTTACAGTAGTTTATGTGCGTACACTATTCGAAATAACAATATTGTGAATATTATATCATATTTTTACTTTCGACTGCCTGCAAAGTTTTTCATGTGTCTGCTAAAAGCTGCTATAACGTCGAATAAATTACGGTTAAGCTGCCGTAATCAACGTTACACACATAATTAAGGTATGTAAATTGTAATTTGACCTATATAATTTGTATTTCTATTTCCACTATTTATTTATAAATACTATGGTCATCTTTTCCTCACAGTTTGGGTAAGATGGCCCACTTTTTTCATGATAAGTCGGCCCACACAATCGATATATTAATATGACTATCTGCGAGACAAAAGTCGATTAATTGCTTATCACACAGCTCGTGGCACTGGCTTTTTGTTATTGTAGAAAAGGATTGTGGATGATGCAATAAAAGTAAGTATTATAAGATTTTTCATTTTGATTTTGTGTTAGTTTCGGGAAATATTGTGATATTTACTTCGTAAGTGTTTAGCTATCAAGTGAGAATCTCATCATTTAATTGCCTGATATCGCGTTGCTTCTTGATATAGTTTCTCTGTTATAGTTTCTATAGAAAGAATTTAACACAATACTTATCGCATAACAAGTGACACGGTAGTCAATTAACTTTTACTTATACGGAAAAACGGTAAACTGTACTGCTAAAAATGAGGTTAGGAAGTGAGGTTATAAAACCTGTCTTGTGTACTGACAAAGCATAGTCAATATATGTGTGCAAGGTGATAGAAATTACTCTAGAACTTTCAAAAAGACAATAATAATAATATTTATAAATGGTATTTATAAATAGTGACAATATTTGTGTTTTTATAGATGCCAAATAAAAATAGGAATTGAGAACATACTCGAGGTTAATCTTGAAAGAAGATTTAAATCTGCTAACGCAACAAAGGGTGGAATGAGGCATATCTGCTCGTTTGGAATGAAGAAAGAATGCACCATATTAAAATGATGCAAAAGCATGGTTTTCCGCTTACTTGAGATGATCTTTGTACACTGGCTTATAACTTTGCTAATCAACTTGAAATCAAACACAGATTCAATAATGAAACTCAAAAAGTTGGATGAGTGACTTTATTCATTTTTGTCTAGACATCCTGATGTTTCTGTACGCAAATCAGAAAGTTTATCTCTTGCTAGAAGTCTTTGTATGTAAGTAAATTGGATTTAATGCATTCGCTGCAAGCGGTGGCTGCATGAAACGTGTACATCATTTATTGATGTTTGCCAAATGTGTGGGAAAATTATATATATATTTGTAACTAAATATGTAAAATTATAAGTTTTTTTTATTATTTTACAAGATGTTAAGTGCATCTTTAACATTAAAATATGTATGGCCAATGTCCCGTAATGCTATGGCCATCTTTTCCTTAAAGGTCAGATAAGATGGCCAATGCATATGTTGTAATACTTTGATAATATAAAATTTATGTTAAGTGTTTTCTTCTTAATTTTGATAGTTTTACGTACTTTAAGCTTCAGCGAAGGAATATACCAAACACTATTAAAAAATAACAAAAATAAATGTGTTTTTTGCATTTTAAAAAACTATGGCCATCTTACCCGAGTTTACCCAACCGATTTTTTTGGAAACCGGTTCCAAAAATTTTCCAATTTTTCGGGAAATAATTGACCGAATTTTAAAGAATTATATATAAAATAGAGGTAGAAAGAACTAAAAAATGTAATAGAATTAAAAAAATTGCTAATAATAAAAGGGTTTCCGATTTCTGTTTAAAAAATGTACGTGATTGCTCCAATTTCCGCAAATTTTGAGATATTAAGCTGAATTTTTTTTTTTATGGATACTTTTTATGAATAATAGTTTGTTACCGAATTTTTTGGAAACCGGTTTCAAAATTTTTCAAGTTTTTTGAGAAATAATAAGTATTAATAAACCGATTTTCTTGAAACCAGTGCCAAAAGGAGGGGTGTCAATAAGGCCGTTTTTTGGCCCACGTCAGAATCGCTCCAAACTGTGGTATTTTCTTCCTACCGATGTAGCTCACAACCTCCTAGAACCGTTTGCTGTCCGAGCAATTAGAGGCTGAGAACGGGCAACTTGAAATCTAAAAAATCAATGGAGTTTTACATATGGTGGTAGTGCCGATCTCATTTCAGCATGTAATTGTTGGGAGAGAGGAAGGGAGGGAGGGTGGGAGGTAGAAGGGGGAGAGAGGAAAGGTGGGATGTCTACAGGGGGAGGGAAGTAGAGGGGGAGAGAGACAGAGGAAAGGAGGGAGAGAGAGAGAGAAAGAGAGAGGGAGGCAGAACGTGGCAGAGGGAGGGAGAGGGAGGCAGAGAGGGGCAGAGAAAAGGAAAAAGAGGGAAGGAAAGGAGAGAGGGAAAGAGAGAGAGAGAGAGAGAGAGAGAGAGAGTGAAAAGGAGGGTGGGAGAGAGAGAAAGAGAGAGGGAGGGAAAAAGAGAGAGGAAAAGGGAGATAGAGAAAGGGAGGGAAGAGAGGGAGAGGGAGGCAGAGAGTGATAGAGGGAGGGAGAGGAAGGCAGACCTGCTCCCTCCCGTCTGGTTCCCGTCATTCTCTCTCTCTCTCTCTTTCTTTCTCTCTCTTTCTCTCTTTCTCTCTTTCCCTCTCTCCTTCTCCCTCCCTCCCTTTCCTTTTCTTTGCCCCCTTCTGCCTTTCTCTCCCTCCCTTTGCCACCCTCTGCCTCCTTCTCCCTCTCCCTCCCAACCCTTCATCTGTCTCTCTCCCTCTCTACTTTTTTCCCCCTCTACCTCCCACCCTCCCTCTCTCCCCCCTCTACTTTCCACCCTCCCTCTCTCCCAACACTTACATCCTGAAATAAGACCGGCACTACCACCATATGAAAAACTCCATTGATTTTTGAGATTTCAAGTTGCCCGTTCTCAGCCTCTAATTGCTCGGACAGCAAACGGTTCTAGGAGGTTGTGAGCTACATCGGTAGGAAGAAAATACCACAGTTTGGAGCGATTCTGACGTGGGCCAAAAAACGGCCTTATTGACACCCCTCCTTTTTTTAATTTTTGAAGGATAAATTTAATTTTTCATTAATGGATCGATTTTCTTGAAACCGGTGCCAAAATTTTTTTAATATTTTGTTGATAAAACTGGTACCAAAAGATTACTAATTTTATGGAAATGGCTACTATGGGGTTGAAAATTGGGTTTCATGGAGTTTTATGGGGTCAGCGAACCGATTTGGATGAAACTGGTACCAAAAGATTACTAATTTTATGGGGATGGTTACTATGGGGTTGAAAAATTGGGTTTTATGGGGTTCCATCGGGTCAGGCTATGGAGTAATATAGGCTATGAAAAAAATAGGTAATCTTAGAAAATAACAAACCTACAATATAAAAATCTCACTTAGGAGAGTAGCATGCATGTTTCTGAAAGAAGTTTGTAAAAGGGAAAAAAACATTATTATTAATGAAAAGGTATCAAATAAATGTTAATGAATAAAAGAAAGGATTATGCAGTGGAACAAGATTGATTGTAAGAGGACTGAAACCAAACCTGATTCATGCGGAGGTTATGACAGGGACAGCAAGAGGAGAAATTGTCTTCCTACCCCAAGAATCAATTTCATACCAAGTGATATTGAACTACCATTTAAGCTTAAAAGGCGACAGTTTCCAATACGCGTCGGATTTGCAATGACAATAAATAAAGCTTTAGAGACAAACATTAAAAAAGGTAGGTATCTACGAAATACAATATTCGCACATGGACAACTCTATGTAGCATTTTTAAGAACAACAAAAAGAGGAAGTGTAAAAATGAAAATAGAAGAAACCAACAAACAAGGACATTTAATTGAGGGAAAAAATACATCTTTTACCAAAAATGTGGTATATCGAGAAATTTTGTAAATTATGGAGACAAAAATGAATGAGAGTAGTCAATAATGGCAGGTTAGTGGAGAATGAAAGCGCGCGCGCAAAGCGCGGGCAAAAAAAATTAATGAATTAATATTAGAACAGAAAGGCAGCAAATGTAAAACTAAACCCGGTAGAATTCTTAAACAAAATAGAAAATATCGTGCTAATTAATAATCCGATTCGCCTCGGTTTACCCTATACATTTTTCAGGCAGAAATCGGTACCCCTTTCACCAATCTTCTCAAAATTCAAAACATCTTTCCTTTAATAATACTTTATATATAAGATTGTATGTATAACTTGTACACTTTTTATGCGAAAATCGGTAACCCCTTCACCGATCATTGTCAAATTTAACATCAACCTACCTTTAATAATACACTATCCATAAAAAAAAATTAAGCTCGATATCTCAAAAGTTGCGGAAATTAAAGTAATCATGTAGATTTTTTTAGATAGATATTGGTAACCTCTTTATTATTAGCAATTTTTATTAATTCTATTATATTCTTTAGTTTTTTCTACTCCTATTTCATGTATAATTCATTAAGATTTGATTAATCAGTTCTTGAGTTATAGAAATTTCGGTAAATTTGGCACACACACAAACACATATACATACATACACACATACGGATATTTTTAAAAATTACGATTTTTTGACGTTTTAGAACATTCTAAAACATTGGCAGCAAAAACTAAAAAAAATAATTTTTTTTTGTCTTTTCTACCCCTATTTCATATATAATTCTTTAAAATTTGGTTGATTAGACCTAGCCGCTAGCTTTGTGATCAAAGGTCCATATACGAAGTTTATGAAAAGCTTCCTCTATGAGGAAGTAATATAGAACATAATTATTAAAAGAGAGAATAAAGATCAGGAATGGCTATAGGAGTCAGACGCAGTTGTCAGTGCGTAAAAAAAGCTTAAGCGATTTCATCAATCAAATATATATTCAAACGTTTCGGCTCGGGATTGAGCCATCTTCAGTGAAATATATATAAAAAAGTTAATAATTACTCCCATTCTCCTTGTTGGATCGGTGAGTTTCGAGATTGAAAGATCCCAAAAGACAACATTGACTTTCGAATTACTGTCTGTAACAGATCCAAAACCAACAATGATATTCAATATTTCTGTCAGTATCTTGATTCAAGTCAATTAACGAGATGTGGTTAAACTCACCCGATAGCCAAAAAGAACAAGAGTATTACGAAGCCATACAGAGTATATAACGAGTCTTCCGAAAAGATACAACATTATATGCAGAGACGAAATCAAACGAACATGTCAAGAAGGCGGACGGAAAAATTCTAACCCAACACAGTACATACAACAACAATAAGCATGGTTTACAATTTGTTTAGTATAGATACATAAGCGTGGTGAAGAAATTCTGTATCAGTTTGTAAATTTAGACTGTTCTTCTGTAATTTAATATGCGCCATTTCCTAAACTCGTCTTTTAGATAGAAATCTCTCTTTAATTGTCTAGTACCTCAACGTTCTCCCAATCAAATTCGTGGTCAAAATTAATCCTATGTTCCATAATAACGGATTGAGTTGTAGTATTTCTCCGAATGTGGTTTCTATGTTCAGAGATCCTGGTTTTTAATTGTCTCATTGTTTGACCCACGTATGAGGCATCACAATTCTTAGATAAGATGTATGGATTGGATTGGGAGAGTGTCCTTCTGTACTCGAATAAAGTTACGCATTTTATTTAAGCTAAAAAACGAAAGATTGACATTCAAGTCTTTAGTGACGTTTTTAAATTTACCCGCGATGTTAGAGACATGAGGAATGGTAAACCAAATGCGTTGTTCTTCACTATCAGTAGGTAATCGGTGAAGATTCATTTTGCCTGGGTGTGCTTCTATTAAGAAGAGACTTAATTCTAATATTAATTGTATTGAAATTAAAAGAGAGATTATGAGACACCTGAGCTATTCTCGAAATAATATTTAGTGCTTTATGAAATAATTTTTTGCAGGATTCTATATCTAAGAAAACGATTTACGTTCAATGCCTTCTCTTTCTCTTATACGTTCTTTTGAATGTATTTTACATGATTGTGCATATAATTAATTTAATGTGACAATCACGTGGAATTTTGTACAGTTTTGCTCTAATCGAATACTTTATTATTACGTGAAATGCGAGGCAATAAACTCGTTTATAAAAAAATAATTTTTAAAGCAAAACAAATAATATTTGGGAAACAAGCAACAGAGAATGTTTTAGAATTTTTAAGTATTTTGGCGGCGACTGTTTATCATCTTTTATGGTATGCGCGCTATCACCGCGTTGTGAGAACAATCACGAAAATTTTTTTACAAACAATATACATTTTAATGTTATAATTTTCTGCAAAGTAAAGGTTATATGAGGAATAAAGAAGCACGCGTGCAAATTAAGTGAACGAGCGAATTATGTGCCCTGCTCTGGACGTTCTCTCGTCCTTATATTAGAGAAAATCGATTTTCTTAGGATTTTTTTGAAACTGTGAATATTCGTTAATTTAGGTGTGCTTTATGCGTGGTATAAATTTCGGTATCTCTTCCAGTATAAAAAATAAAGATACTGAGCCTTAAAGTTTTAAAAAAAATTTTTAAATTCA